GCAAGATGGATGGCAGGAGAGAAGGGTTGCCAAGTGTGCTGAGAGCCTGACCCTGCAAGTGGCCTTGTGCTTGTACAATGATCTGTCAAAATCTGTCTTGTCTGAAAATAAGGGCTTTCTCTGTCTGGATGTAGCTCCAAGACTAGAGCCTATATATGTATATGCTAACAATTTAGTATGTGAGCTTTGCACAAGGAGTATTAAAAATATTTTAATTGGTTAATTAGCTTGAGGCTCTGTATGATTAGACTTTCCTAGGTCTACAGACACAGCACAAAAAGAGACACTGCATATTCCACACACATTACAATCTATTGTCCCAAGGCTTGTATTTAATCTCAGAAGATCACAAAAATCTTACTTTCCTTTAAGAAATACAAAGCAAATGCTTAGTGGCAGAGCTACTTAAGGGAGACAGGGGTTTGGATCCTGACTTCTTGAATATACACAGTTGGCCAGGACCACAGTCCTGATCCTCTAATGAAAGCTGAATTTCCCTTCTCTAATCAGCTCTCTCAATGACTGTAGCACACACTGCTTTTATTCCTCAGGGGCAGCTCCTCTCCCTGTCAAGGTGAGATCTGCATAGGAGGTATTTGAGCCACCATTACCGAAGTTGTGTTTTAACTGTGTGGGTGCAGCATTTGACCCAGCACATACAAAATGTGTGATCAAAGTGAGGGAGAAACTTTGATAACCTCCTGCTGGGAAAAGGCAGATATATGTGCTATCACCTGAAGAAAGTCAGTCCAGAGTAGAAAAAACCTTGGAGAGATTTGCCATCCAAGTCACCCACTGGATTTAGCATAACTGACGAGTATCTATTACTACATAAGAAGGGAAAGTGGGAGTGAATTTAGAACTAGTTAAATAAAATACCACAAATTAGAATTTACAAAGTTAACAGGAGTTTTGGAGGCTTCCATTATTCACATAAACTGAAGATATGTACCCTCTTAGCAAACCAAAATGCCACGTTAGCTACAGTGAGATCCACAAACAAACTTTTTATAATAGTTTATAAACTTGTACTAAGCTCCTGCACATTCTTGCACACTCAAGCTGAAAAAGAAACAGCTCTTCTAACAAATGGCTTCATTTAAGGCCTCTCTCAAAATGTACACATTTATATATTTTTGTCATCAATTAAAACAAGGGGCCCAGAAAAGCAATTATTTACTGCTGGGCATTATGAGAAATATCTCTGAATTAAATTATTCTCAATTAGTGAAAACTATTACCACATGAATAAAACTGCATTCTAATAACAACACTGCCTTTTAAAGGACATCTTGCACTCACCCAGAGATACATGGAATTCTGAGTATGGATGCATGCAAACCCCAATACTTAATCGAGAATCTGCTTTTGTTTTTCTTCTGGTTGTTAATTATTTAGGGGCAAACTGAAACGATTTCATCTGTAGTGATTTTGTGTGCAACTCATCCCTGTGCACAGAAACAAGCAAAAAGTTTTATACCAAACGAGACTTCAGATTAAGAGCAATATAGAAACTTACTCATGGGATGAAACCCGAGGCCAGTACATCCAGTACTGGGTCTCTGAGAGAGGCAGGACCAGCTGTTTCAGAGGAAGTTTAAATGAAACATAATTAATAGATAGTCATTACTTTATTCTGGCCTGTATACCTTTTGGTTTATAGTTTGTTTGCGAACAGATCTCTGTTTGTATCTGAAACCTGAGTGGAGAGTGATTAGTTGAATCTTGTGGTTTTGTTCTCAAGTATAACACTGGCAAACATATTTCCTGTGTGAAAACTGTGAATCCAATTTTCGCTTCCAATGACTGTTTCTTATAAGGTGCTCTGTGTCTGCCAGTAACTTGATGTGCTAGAATAGTCCTAACTTGCTAAAATTTCTGAACATTTCAGAGAGGCTCAAGCACTGTTGGAGTACAAAATACTTCTGAATTAATTTTCATCCCAGTTACCAGAGCTCTTCTAGAATATACTTTGGAGAATTTTTTTCCCTAAAAAATAGCTATTTAGAGCTTTGAATATTTCATATAGACCCCAAATTAACTCCTTGTAATGAAAATATAAGGTGCAACCAGTAGCTCAAAAGTGTATGAAAAACGGATTTAAAATGAAACAACTAAAAATTATCATTTTCACACTGCATTTTCTATGTCCGTATAGAAAATGTCTGGTCCACAATCTGTGTACTGTACAGAAACTGTGTACTAATAATACACCCATACTTTTAGAAGGCTTTCAATGTTTCTGAGAATACCAGTACGTTTGTGAACTTTAAAATACAGGTTTCTGTCAGAGAGCTAATTATTGTAAGAATTGTTGTTGACCATATCTACAGAAAATTACATTACACAGTACTGCAATAGCAACCCAGTGCCTCAGTCACTAGGCAATCATTCAGGCTCACAGCACGCTACCTCACAAATATCATAGATAGAGGGCTCATCAAAACCATGAATAATCTTGGAAATACTTTGATTTATGTTTTAGGTCAGTAGAGAGATGCCAAAGGGGCCAAATCAGCTCCCATTTCATTACCAATAGAAAAGATTAGCACTGTCTTCCATGTTGAGCTGCTTGTTGCCTGTGTTCACCCTAATCCCTTACCTCATCACAGACATGTTCATAAACCAGGATCCAATTAATTCATGGGAATGTGCAGAATACATACAAAGACATATTATGTCCACGGAGCAGAAGTATCTATTGTAGCTCATTTTTCCCAGTTCATGAAGGCTAAAATCATCATTAAGGGCAAAACAGCCCATAAATGAAGCCAGTGAGGAGCACTATGAAACTTATTTTGGGGGTCTAATCTGTTTTTGAACCACTTTTCCTAAAAAATTTCATTTACTGACAGACATATTTTATCCAGAAATACAGAATAGGCAATCTTTGGGAGTGAGGGGCCGGAAGTAAAGGATAGGGAAGGTACAAAGAGGTGGAAGAAAATAGTTTATTCACTAAAAATGCTGTTGAGATGACCCAGATTAATTTGACTTCATTCTTTTAATTAAAAAAAATAATATTTGTTTTGTTAAAGATAGGTTCGGAGATCTCTTAATTATATTGATTTTTGTTTTGGAAAAATGATTAATGATGCTTAAAGAAACAAAGACTGTTAAAAAAATGAAAGTACATTTGTTATTTGAGCCACAATGATTTCTTTTCTCAGATTTCTCATATTCATGAATGAAATAATTATTATTCCAAATCAGTCTGAGCATTACAATTTCATTACAACTTATATCTGGAAGGCAAGTGACAAGTTCTTCAGGAAACACTTTGATGTAAGAAGAATAGAGTTCGTCAACAGCCATCTTTTTGCTAGAGCTGGTAAAATTATATTAACAATTTATTTATTGTTGATAATTATATCTTTCAATGTTTTGAAAAAAATACCATAAAAAAATTTCAAGCCTGAGTAGTGAACCTTGGCTGAATGACTAATTTGGACATGTTAAAGATCCAGAAAAGGAAGGCCAGGATTTTGGGGGGGGAAGGGGGAAGCACATTTTGTTCCTTGATCATTTGTCCCTTGTTACCAATCTTTTAATAAGAAATGCTTTTGAGAAGTCCTCAACATAGACATTTGAAATCACTAGGCATTTTTTAATCCAAATTTTCCCTTCCTGCTTGCAAGACTACAGTCTAATTTGCAAACAAAAACCAGTAACATCAAACTATAGGAACTCAAGATGGCACTAGCTGAAGTCTACATTTGTTTTTTGAAGGAGATAAAGATATTGGGTATAGTGGGTTTTAAATGAATTTTCAGGAGAAGATACAAAGGGAAAAAATTTCTCCCTGGTGAACTGAGATTGAGAAAGCTTTCTAGGTGTTGGCAGCGCCACAGAAAAATCAATGATAAGAAGTTAGAATGATGAGATGATAAGCGACCACCTTATGTAAATAAAGATGAGGTTAACAGTACTATTAAAGTGTTAGAGCTATGGAACATTTCAACATTAAACAAGAGAAAGAATTACATAGAAATACCATGTTCTTATTTACTATTTTGTCTGTATTTAGTTATTTTAACCAGGACTAAGATGACTCTACTGAAAAGCACAGGAACTTTAAATCTAAGGCAAACCATATTTGTATACTGTGAACAAAATATTCCATAAAACCCAGTATATTTAATTCATTCTGTCCAACCTTTTATCCTTCAACAAGACATCACATCACTCTGTAAGAAGCATCAAAAAATTATCGAATTGGGTACAGGCAACATTAAAGCCCTAATGCATACAAAGTATATTGCCCAACTCCCTCGTTAAAATCTGTAACAATGAAAGAGATGGCCAAAAAAAAGTGTTTTCTGCAAACTGTACCTACAGCCAATCAAACTGGAATTCCACAGCTAAAGCATAAAAACCAGCCTACCACCTATCCAAAGTAAGACTGTAAGTTGGTGCTTCACCTTGATTTTCTAGTACCCAGCAAACCAGATCATTAAGTGCAATTTCATTCATTTCATAATCTCATTTTATTCATTTCAGATCTACAGAAATTGTGTTTATATATTTCCAAAGCCATCTCCACTTGCCAACTGCCACTCTACTGTTGCTGTGCTATTCCTGTGATGTTAAAACACTGTATCTGTAGTTCTCATCAGACAATCCTGTTTGCAATGCTGATATCCTGGTAGGTAGAGGGAGACTGATAGCACCCAGAAAAAAACCCTCAACTTGTAAGGCATTGATAAAACACAAATATCAGTGTAAAGCATGAGAAAACTAGGACAAGAGAAAAGAAGGGAGAGAAAGAATAATATTAACCATATCTGGAAGATAAATTCATTTTCTAATTGAAAATTATAGAACTCTGGGAATTTCAACAGATTTTTAAAATAAGAAACTGACAACAGAATTTTGAACATATTTATAATAGATTTTGAAAATTTTCTCCAACACTGCAGAACACCAGTCTCTCAGAATTAGTCGCCTAGTGTCTGGAAAACATTTTAATGAAAAAACTGTGACTATGTATATTTGCTTACCTGGTCAGTTAAACAAAATTCACTGGCCTGAGCAGAATGCATTGTAAAAGAAAACTGTAAAAGAAAAAAAATTCAATTATTATTTATTTCTCTCTCTCATAATTTTTATGATGAATTATTCATGAGTGTTTACTGTTATATAGAAATTGCTATCTAAATCATACTAAACAAAAAACTTCTTACAATCTATTAGGTCACTGTTTTCCCAAAAGAGTCCTGACTGTGTTAGGATTACATTTATAAACAATAGTACTAAAACCAACAGACACTATACCCTGCTATTCAAAAAGGATTAAAGGTATCAGATATGTAGTTGGTATCAACTTGTGTGTATTTTTATTCAAATACAAATATGTAGCTATCATTATTTCCTTAAAGGATACTCAGATTTATAATATGTCCTTTTGGTAAAACAAGCAAAAAAAAAATCTCATGTATTTCTCATTAAATGTTTTTCAGGACACTTGAATACACAAAGTTCATTTACTTTCTATAATATGTCACATAAACACAGTATGAAAAGAACATATTATTAAGACTGTACTGTGATGAATATAAATATCATAAAGTGCCAAATGTTAGCCTGCCTATGGAACTTTTATTTCTTCAGTGAGTATGGAATAAGCTACAGTTGCTAATTCCTTAGTCACATAGCATTCTTCCATGGGAAGTCCTCTTCATTCCTTGTACAAAACGACATTCAAATGTTCAAGCACTGATGTTTTGTGTTAATTTCATTGCTTAACAGGTGGCCTGGAGAGACATCTGTGCAGTAGTGTTCAACTCCTGATATGAAAACTGCAGTATTTTGCTATGATCCATGCACTCTAACCATGACTGCTTTGACTGTGTTGCAAACAATACGCCAACTCAAGTTCAGCAAATTCTTTTGGAGGAATAACATTGTCCCAGATGAGTTCCTTCATTCTAACAAATCAAGCTGCAAAGTGAATACTTAATTTGGGTCACATTGGCTCAGTGTTTTCAGAAGACTCAGCATTTCACACTTCATACATTCAAGGGACTGCTCAAAACAATTTCATCTGGAGACATAAATACCAACCACATTGCAAATTAGGTGACAAACAGGTTACAGAAATGAGGAACACGAATTGCTGACCATCTCTACAACTTGATGCAATGCACTTCACACCTTGATGTGTGAACTCTGTGGTAAATCAGAGGACTGAATTTTATTCTTCAGGGCTTTAATCAACTTTGTTATGAGACTCCTTTTTGTTGTCCTGAGATGTCTCAGTAACCAGATACTTTCCTCTTTCTGTTTCTGAACAAGAGTCTTCCTTACTGCAGACCAAATTAACCCTCAGAGATGGCCCATCCACTTGCTCTCTAGATCGAGGACAGTATGAAAAAGAAGTGTGTTACCAAGTAAAGAAGGATTCCCAAAAAGCATTTGCAGAGAATGGTTACATAAAGCTGCAGAAGGCACGCTTAGTACTATTTGACTTTATCACTTTACCACTTCATAATAACACAGGTTTTCTTGACAAGTAAATGCCTATTCAGGGTGTTGGGAATGCATAAAATCTTCAGAAATTCTGTTAGGAAGAATGATAGCTGCCAGCCACAACCACCAACTCTAGTGCTGGAATGTGTAGATGGTGCTCCCTGAGGTCAGGGAATAACTGACAGCATACCATCCTTTTTGCAGACCAGTATGACAGAAGGGTCCTTTGGCAGTATTTCAGTAAATACCTGTTGACTGCAAGGAAACTGACTAAAGAAACATGGTTCCAATCCTGGACTCTGGAAATGAAGTTTTATAATAGGAAGTGTCATATGATGTCAACAAAAGACTCCTGAAAAAAGACTGGTAAAAGAGAAAGACAGTTCTAGCACCTCCTTTCCATTCACCTGAGACAGTAGTTTCTGGCATACAGAACATCATTCCCTATATGAGTATTGACCAACCTGCCTTGCATTTTTCAATAAAAGGGAAGGCAGTGACCATGATGCTGAGAATTTCAGAATGGAACAATAAACAGCAACCAGGAAGGGTACAGACAAACTGCAAATCCTGTCAGATCAGTCCAGTTTATCAGCAAATCCTAGAGTGTATGCTGTTAATGAAATATAATTTCCTATTGGTTACAATAGCATCCTTCTGATGTAGCCAGACTAGTTTATTTTAATTTAAAAACAGGGATTTGCATCAAGCAACTTTGAGCTGAATGGGTCATATCCTCACCATTTTCTTAGCCACCTGCCTGTTTGTGACTTTTGAGAATAACTATCTCATTTCAGAAAGATTTATCATGGAACTTATCCTCCTAGTCCAAACTACAGTCTTGTTACTGGCTTTGCACCACTGGACTGATGCAACTGTGCAGGTCACTGTAGAAAAAACAGTTTCTCTGTTCAGATCTAATAGCAGGAATGCAGGAATGTTTTCAGCAGTTAACAGCAAGAGAGTTTGAGCAAATGCAAAAACAGTGAAAAGATGACTGATAGGATAAAGTATAAACTGAATAGTGGTCACTGTGCTTTTGTAAGATTTGCTGTACATAATCCTTTATTCTGAGTTTCTATACAGAAATTAAATGGAATGAGCTTTACTCATGATTACATTTGTTTAGCACTGCAGAGCAAACTATCTTTCCCTGTTAGGCTTTTGTGTAGCCTTTCAGGAACAACGTAATATGTATGAAAACTAGCAAGAGTAAGTGGGTTAATGACAGACTGGATGCAATTTGCTTATCTTGGCCACATCTCGAATCTGTGATGGACACCCATCCCTGCCGATACAGGCATTGCTGCCAGCACTCCTCTACCAGCCAAAAGCTCTGAACATATGACTCCGCTCTGGGGAGAAAATGCACATTTTGCATGAGCAGCTCTGCTTCCTTCATTAATTATGTCACAGCGTCTTTCAGAACAAAAAATATTGCTCACTCTTCCTTAGTCCACTTATCTCTGTATCGCTAAGAGAAAGTAACTTGGAATCTTTACCTTCTAGTGAAACACAGTTATCCCCAATCTCTCTGGAGGAACAGGCATCATGAAAATTCTGATAGGGGAGTACTTTTTTACCTGTGATTAAATCCAAGAAGGAAATGAAGCAAGATTCCCTTCTAGTTTGCAGTCTTCAGACACAGTCACCAACTTCTTATTTTCAAACCAAGCACATATGACATAAAAAGCATCAAGGTACCGAGACAATTATCATGCAGCTATAAAGATACAATTCTTACAGTCACTTTTCAGAGGAGAAAAGAGTTGCTATTCTTTTTATCCTTTAAGTATTTAATAGTAATCCTATTTTATGTGTATTAATTTTAAGTCACTTATAATGAGATTTGCAAAGGTATTGATTTCAATGGGAGGTAAGGGCTAAATATCTTTATATGGAGTCCTATTGAATCTCTACATTTATTGTCTGCACACAAATCATTATAAAGCAGGCGTTATTCAAGAAAGAACTCAATGGCAAGAGAGAAGTCCAATTAAGAAGTAATTCAATGCAATTATGGAAGTTTGGAAGTTGCCTGAGGTTCTGCTTGCCTGCAAATCATTGGAGAAAGATGAAAGGGGAGGAGTTTTTTTCATCCCCACTCCCCAAGTATTATTTTCACATTTATATTATTAATTTTTAAAACCTGAAGTATTACGACTTCTACAAAGTCACAGGTTAGAATCAAAGATGCTATTAACTGGGTTTCTGTGGGACCTTTATTTTGCAACACTATTCATGAGTTCTGGGGTTAGCCCTATCAATAGCTAAAAGCAACAGACTGGAGTTCTTGTCTATAGCTGTTGGATGTTTGTATATGAGTAAACTGGCTTTTCTGACCCTAGTCTTATAGATGTTAAAGTCAGGTCAGCACAAATAATGCTGGAATGTACATTTTAATGCTTAAACTTCTTCCCTCCTATTCTATACCCATTTGTGTGAAGAAAGGAAAAGAAATAAGAACTGAGAGCCAACAGAAATGGACATTGGCTAATTAAAGTAAGGATTTTTTAAAGTAAAAAATGGTTTTGGGTTTTTTTTACAATTATAAACTCAAGTCTTTCCATTAAAAATGGCACTGTAAATTCTTTAGCTAACAATCTAAAGTCAACAGATAAAAAGCATCTATCAGCCTAGATGCTTGCCTAAGGGGCACTGAAAAAGTTGGGGAGACAGGGAGAATCACAGTTGAATAGCTTTGTGATAGCATCAAGGCATTTCAGGACAGCATACTTTTGATTGCACAGTGTTTTTATGGCCTTTTAAAGTATAAAGCTTCAATGCACTTCATACACTTTCTTACACCAGCAAAATACTTGGCTTGTTACAAACAAAATGATGAATGTGTCCAGTGCACTTTGAAAGATGCAAATTCTTACCTTCCAGCATGCAACAGTTTTTACACCCATGTCAGCTCCCCAGAGCTCTCTGGCTTGGGATCTGTTTTTTGTTTTCAAGGTGAATTCAGATATATCATGATACATCATTCCTGGCAGGGTGGAGATGTTTATTTTCTCAGCATGTATCTGTAATGCTTTCCTAGAAAGCAACCAGTTGAGCCAAACAAGGCTTCCCAGGGCAACCCCAATGCTCCTAGGACACTGATGACTCTACTCAGCAAGCAGTGACACTAGGCAGAGATACTGGTTTCTCCAACTCAGACCTCTTGGAAGGGACAGCTGCCTGTATAGACACTGCCAAAACTGAAGGAAAGTCCACAGTTTGAGATGGACCTTAAACTGGCTGTCCTAATTAATGCTCCCATGAAGTAGAAACATGGCTAATTAAAGCGGAGGATACTTAGTCCTTGCAAAGGCTTGGGTAGGGCTGGAGCTGAACACTACCAACATTCAGAGAAGACTCTAACTAGGTGGCTGTGGAGACAGCCCTCCCTGTGGCAGCACATAGGTGCCTAGGAGAGACCATCACCCCCCAACACTGAAGTCCTATCTAAGTGGATTCATTTTGCGCAATGGGCAAAGCTCTAGTAGACCTTATTTACACTGTTTACAATAGAAGTAATTCAACAAACATGCAAGAGCTTGCACTATTTTATTCAGTAGGACACACTCCTACCCTGACA